CACACAAACACACACACACACACACACAGACACACACACACACACACACAGACACACACACACACACACACACACACACACACACACACACAAAAACACACACACACACACACACACACATTGCTCCATCGTACGTGGGGGAGGTTCGACGTGTCGTCATTTCACTAGAACATTTTAGTCACTTCAAATAAACTCAGATTCTCAAAAGTCTGAAACTGTTTTCCCATAAACTCAAGTTCAGTTACGACACTGAGTTCTGTCGACTTATTGCCTATTTTGACCAAAGAACTGTCCAATACCCAAGTGGAAATACAGAAATAAAAATAGAAAAGTAAACAAATATTTTTGGCCAAATACGAGCTACACAGCAAAAAGTGGAGATTTAAAATTAACTCTCACAGAATCACTCTGTTCTAAACTTAATTTAATTAAATTTTTGGAAATGTTGATGAAGTAAAACTGGACCAAAGTTCCTGTTTAACCCAAATCCAGAGTTATATGAACTTTTAGAGAGTAAACAGATAACACTTTGTAGAGTTATCCTGATTTAACTCAACAACACACAGAGGTTCACACAAGTTCAAACTGATCTTCTCCGGAGTTTGAAGTGGAGGGTGGGAGGAAAAACAAATTAACACTAAGGAAAGATTGATTTAACACTAAGGGAAGTTGAATTAACACTAGTGGAAGTTGAATTTGCTTCGGCCATAACATTTCTGGCAAATAACCCCAACTCTCTTTGTGTTAAAAACAACTCTGAAATATTTTACCCTGAAATTTTAACCCTCCAGTTTTTACTGTGAGCAATAACTCACTTACTTTACTTTAAATAAACCTAAAAGAAAATTACATAAGCAGTTTATTGGACAAAATAGGCCAGTGTTTTTTGTTTTTTGGTTTCCAGAGGGAGTGAGAGTCACCCTCAGTGTTTTAGGGCGAATTTGGAAGAGAATTCCAAAAAATGGACAAACAAGCTAAATATAAACACCAGGGTCACACACAGGGGTTAATACGAACGTTTAAAATGAGTGTGACAGCAGTCGATGGAGCTGGAAGTGCGCCCATACTCACTTCCTGTTTGGATCGCGGCGGTTGGCGGGTTCGTTACGTCTGTGGTCGAGGTAGACTGTAGTTAAAAAGATTATGTGACGCAGACCTGTGTGAAGTCGCCCCCATCAAACCCTAAACCTGCACAAAAACATCGTCAATCGTTCGCACTTCGTTTGTGCTGCAAATAGAAATCGTTTCGCTTGTGCTGCTTCAGTTTTGGAAATATTAACGATTCTTTTATAGGTCAGATAATATAAACGAAAATGCACAAGTCAAATTAAAAAAGAACAAGAAGTCATAAAATATAAAATCTGCACTTCATACAAGAGGTCGTAGGAAGACGGTGCAAAAATGATATGATGATTGACAGGCCCAGAAGGCTGAGCTGTACAGTCTTGATAGTGAGTTTATCTTTGAGTCACGTCAGGTCCCTCGTTTATGGAACAGTCGACCTGAGGACCTGAGGTCCGCTGTGAGTGTTCAGATTTTTAAAAGCAAACTCAAAACATATTTTTTTAATTTAGCTTTTAAATGAAACTTTTACTTGTTTTAACTTAAATTATTGTCATTATTATTACTGTTATTATTATATTTGTTTTATATTAAATTATCATAACTATTTTACTTCATCTCCATCTGATCTTAGCTCTCCATTTTTATTTTTACTATCATCATCATCATCATCATCATCATCAGGTTTGACAGACTTGAACCTTCAGGAGTTTTATGTTTTATCTTTTATCTTTTATGTTTTATGTTTGGTGTTTCTGTTTAAACGGTTGTAAACGTGGATGAAACTGTTTGGTCTGTTCCATGTGAAGCTCTTTGTGTTTTACATTTCAAACGTATGAAAAGTGCTACACAAATAAAATTGAATTGATTGATTGTACATTTGTAGGGAGTATTATTTGTTGCATAGGGGTCAGTTGTTGTACAGTGGTATGGAGTATTGTATAAAGTATGTACATAAAAATCAAATATCGTAATATAAATACAGGATACCACAGTTATATATAAAAGGTCGTAAGGAAACAGTGCAAAATGATTTAGACTTAGACAAATTTTATTGATCGACAAGGGAAATGATTTGGACACAGGAGCTCACACATCATGATGTAATATAAAAACAACGAGAAAAACTAGAAATAAATAGACATGATAATTGTGATTGGGCCCTTGTTTATGAATATTCAGAGTAAAAAAACCGAAAAAAAAAACCAAACAAAAGCCTGTTAATGCAAGTCAGCAGCAGCATCAGTGCACATGAGAGGAACTCCATTATCAGTGGCGCTGGGGGAGGGGGGCGAACACTTAAGACTGTGTGTGCATTTGTGGTGGAGGAGGGAAGAAAGGAGAGAAAGAGAGAGACAGAAAGAGAGAGACAGAAAGAGAGAGACAGGAAGAGAGACAGAGTAAGAGAAGAGGAACCGAAAGCCCAAAGTCCACACGCACAGCGGCAGAGCGCGTTCACAGCGTCACTTTTACACTTTGTTTCACTCGTTTGTCTCTCTCCCACCCCGAAACCCTCCTCTCCCTCCCCCTCTCCCTCCTCCTCCTCTCACCTGCCCAAATTTGGACGCGCGTACACACACCTGTCCTACCTGTGCGCGCTGACGTCACACGCTGAGAGAACCTGCCGTGGCTCGTCGAGGTGCGGAGACCAGACTGCAGCGAACATCCACAGCGACAGGACGAAAAAAAACGACACAAAACCAGCGGATTAACACTTTTTGCTTAATTTAAAAGGATAATTTACGTGTTTCAAGGAAAGATCGCGACTACGGGGAGTTTTAATCCAATGGGGACCGCCACGTTTGCGGTTTTGGGCGCTTTGCTCCTGGTTTTACAGGTAAGATTTCTTTCGTGTCATGCCACAACTTGACTTGTGAATGGGTGTGCAAGCTTCCTGTCCTCTCCCCATTGTCCAACGAGATCTACGACGCATTCTTTAGTCAGTAAGTTAATTTACTGCGAAATATTACAGATTTTCCATTGATTCTGTGGCATTTTTCATTCAAATTACACTTATAATTCACAGTAAATTTAGTTCTGACAGCCAAAACGTTAATTAAAGCGTCTAATTACACGTTTATGCATTGATCTTATCACTTCTGTGGTCGTTTGTTGCACTTTTTGAAGACAAACCTACTTTTACGTCACTTAATTTAGTCAATGGGCTAATTTCTGTGAACCGAGATCTCAATTTTCGTTTATTTTTACACACATTAATTCCCACTATCGCACTTCTCAACCACAGCTTGTGTTTAAATGTTTTGCAATACTTTTTACATGTCAGTTTGTACCATTTTCCAATCTAAATCTGTCAGTTCCAAATGCTAAGTGGCTAATTACACACATGACTGTTTAAAAAAAGCTAACCCTAACTCGATACATGAACATTTCGTCACATTTAGTGACTTTTGACCGTCTTTTCACGCCTTTGAAACCAGGAAATGTTACGTTTAGGGATTTAACTTGTCCTTTATGCCCGTGAACAGGTGCAAAAGTTTATTCCAATCATGGTTGAATCTAAAATGTTTTATGAGATCGCCATTTTATTCACTTGTCGCGTATTTAAGACGCTTTTTTCAACTGTTTAACGTATTTTCAGCGATTAAAAGTTCAGTCCGAGGGCATAACATGTCGTACATTTTGGAAAACACCTTAAAAACTCGATTGAATTTATAGTTTGCGCTAAAATTCGTGTGAAATCGCGTTTTTCCGAAGGCGCTTCTTCGGGTGAGCTTCGGCACAACTCGGGCGTCGCCTTCCTCCTCGTGCCGCTGGCTGACGTCATGACGCAGCCGCAGCAGGTACATTCCGGAGTGACGCAAAGGTGAGGTGGGTTTCGGTTCAGACCCCGAAATGGCGTCGATTAAAAACTGTTTTTGTGCGGTTTGAGTTTCGTTTAAGAGGTCAGAGGTCAGGCCGCTGCCTCCGGGCGCCTCGGGCTCATTTTTTTATTCGTTTAAGCGAAATAAAACAGGATTTAAACTGTGATTCAGCGCGTTGTTTTAAAATTTAACCTTTGAATGTTTGACTGACCTACTTTTATTGAAGCTGACAACAATCAAAGCTCATTGTTTGCATCTGAAAATCCTGATATGGCACGTTTACCGATGTTTTTGATGAGGAAACATAACATAGATTAGAAAACTGCGTAATAACAAGCCCTTTTTAAAACAGACTTGAGTTATATAAATAAAAATGAATACTTTATTTCTTGCACCCAGAATTTAGTCTTTGTGGGATGATGAGTTACTGGTACAATTGTAATCAACTTCTCCAAACTTCATTTTTACAACAACAATATGAAGAGTAGTTCTGCAAAAACGGATCAGGTCTATTTAAAAAAAAAAGTTATTTGCAGTTTGTGTTTTTGTTCAGCAATGTTTTCAAACACCAAAAGTGTTTAACTGCTGTCAGTCTATTATAATATTTATAAAATCTAGTGAACATTATATTCATTAATAATAAATTAAGACGGTTAAATAAGAAATACTTTTTTGGCAATTTTACAAAATGGTGATATGATTATGATTTTATTTATTTATTTTTTTGTAGTTGACATATATATTTTTGTTTTTAATTGGTTCAGCTAAATGGGTTCATTAAAACGTATGGACAAAAATAATGCATGTTGTATGTTGAATTTTTAAGAGTGAAAAACTTCGCTGCAACTTTTAAAATCCCACACATCCCTGTCCTCATTTCAACCTGGAGAGCGGAACTAGACCCACACAGCAGCTATTTGTTGTTCTAAGTTTTTATTTTAAATTTTGTGAAGCAGGACTGTGACCTGAAGCGTCACACGAGTCAAAGAGCAGCTGTGTGATCTGTTTGGTTTGGTTCTTAAAGTGATAGAAGCATCTAGAAAACACAAGGTGCTTGTCCGCCTCTATGATCTTTAATTTGACATAATTTAACTTTAAACCTAAAATATCCACCTGGGTTTAGACGGGGTTTAGTCCTGGTTTAGTTTTGCTTTAGTCCTGCTTTAGTCCCAGTTTATTCTTGGTTTAGTGCTGATTTAGTTTTGTTTTAGTCTTGTTTTTAGTCCTCCTTTTAGTCTTGGCCCCAGTCTTGGCCCCAGTCTTAGTCCCGGTCTAACCTTAGTCCTACTTATTTTGACCTAGTTCTGCTCTTGGGTTCCTGTATTTGGCCCAAGTTTATGAGGCAGAAGAACATTTAGTTTGTTCATTTTTTTGTGTTTATTTTTTTGTAAATGGGTTCTGGTATTTTCTTGAATAGTTTTGTTTTCTCTAACGGCACGTCTACTGTGTTTATTCAGATTATCTCTGTAGCCGCTGCCCGTAAAGATTAAACGCACTGACTCGTCCTTCCCGAACACAAACACAGACTCCCATTTTACCACTAAATAAAAATGAAAAGGTTTAAGACTCGTAAATACCGAACCTAACATCTGCACAGGGACAAAAATGTGATTTTTATTTATTTTTTTATCATTTTCAAGAAGTTAAAGTAAAACATTGATTTAAAAAGCACAAATTCCTTGAACATTTGACCAACTTTTACAAAGAGGAGAGCTCAAAAAATGCAATTTTAAAATCCTGTATTCTTCAAAATGGACTTTTGTGAACTTCAAGTTTTAATGTTGTTCCTCCTCAAAAACACAGCTGAAGTTTGAGTAATTCTTTATTATTAGTACAGCACGGTATCGATACAGGGCACTTTCGATTTATTACGATTCGATAGAATATATTTCAAAACGATTATGGTTCAATAAAAAACAAAAGCCAAATGGTCCATGTACCATTTGTTCTTTTGAATTCCAACTAAGAATGAAAAACAATAAAATGGGAAATGTTTTATTTCATTTTTCCGCTTTAGTGTCAAACAAAAAACAGATTTTGACTTCCATTTCCAATAAATTTTAAATTATTTCAAATAACGGAAGTTCTGCCGCTCAGCGCCGTGAGTAAGTTCAGTGTCGAACATGGATCTATAATAAAAACTGTTTTTATTCTGGTTCTGTGGAGTCGACTGAACAAAGGAGAGTTTATCGCTACTTTCCGTTTCTCGTCATGGAGTTCAACAATTACCATCGAAAAAACGACACGTTTGTTCAATAAATTACAATGATTTTTCTGCCAAGTTCTTCCAGCAGCAGAACTTCCAGGACAAATAAACAGAGAATAAAATATAAAAAAAAAAAACTCAGAGAATTTAAAACAGAAAAATTAAATAACAGTTTTTCCATTTTATTGTTTTTCGTTCTTAATTGAAATTCAACAGAACAAATGGGACACAGACTTTAGTCATGGCTGTGATTCTCAAAAATACATTTGTCTGACAGTGGCTCGGTTAGTAGAGCATTTGTCCACTGATACAAAAGTTGAAGGTTCGAATCCTGCTCTCCACATAAACGTAAACGATGCCACTGTGTCCTTGGGCAAAACACTTAACCCACCCGCCCCGTGTGCACTGATGTGTGAATGGGTGAGAGTTTCCTTGTGGTAAAGCACTTTGAGCCTTAAAAGTGGAAAAGTGCAGCATGAAAATGTGATTTACGAGGGATTTAACGATATCAGTCTCACGATACGATATCGTCACGATATGAACCTCACCGTACGATATTTACTGTGATATCGTGGGAAAGCTCAGGATGAGGAATGTCACAAAATCCAAATCTCTGTACGATCTTTTCACGATGTACATCTCACAGTACGATATTTATTGTGATGTTTTGTGGAGGTTAAAACTGTGAATATGTGACACTTTCTTCTGTTGTTGTGTCCTCGGGCAAGACATTTATCTAGGGCTAGTGTCATTAAGAAGATGCCGATACGATACATACCTCGATACTTAGACCGCGACACGATACATATCTCAATACAGTGAGTTTTCCGTTCAAAATATATTTCAAATTGATTCGATACAGTTCAATAAAAACTCAAGTGTAAATCATATGTGGCACTAAAAGTCTTTGTTAAACTTCTTGTGTGAAGTTCATCTAAAACACAAACATTTTAATCAGCAAAACAATGAAAATGTCAAATGTGTCACATAAACCAGTTTCCTAATCTGTGTGTCATTCGTTCATTAGTTTTTCAAAATAAAACCAAAAATAAGAAAACTAAAAAATAACAGTTTTCTTCATTATTTGTCTCCAAAACCAAAATGAAAAAAAAAAACAGATAATGATTTGTTTTCCAATTTTGTGTTTAAATGAAAAATGGAAAAAACTGATAACGACCGGTTCCCGTTTATGTGACTTAAACTGTGATACCAGGACTGGACCAGGTCCGGGACTGAGACCAGGACCAAAGCCGGGACTGAAAACGGTTTAGTCCTGGTTCAGTCTGTATGCGGTGCTGAAGTTCGGCGTCGCAGTTTAAGTCACGGAAACGGGAAACGTTGATTTTGAGTATCTGCCGATACCGAGTCCTGATCCGATACTTTTATAAAACATTAGAAATGAACCAAGAGGAAAGAATCAGATCCAGGATGTTTGGGGTCAGATTGTGTTGATTTTCATCTGAAGTATTTGGGCTGAACTTTGCGTGAAAAATCAAAAATCCAATGATTCACTTTTCTAACCATGAACCGTCATTGTAGAAAATCTGGACTTTTCTTAGTCTGGTCTTGGACTGTGTAACTCAGTAAACTTAATGAACTGGACCGAACCAGACCAGGACCAGGACCAGACCAGGACCAGGACCAGACCAGACCTCAGACCAGGACCAGACCAGGACCGGACCAGACCTGAGACTAGAACCGGACCAGAACCAGACCAGACCTGAGACTCTGCACAATCTACACTTTGTATATTTGATATTATTGAAGTTTGTGTTTTATATTTAAACATTTAGACTCGTCTCGATCCAA